GGTACGAGGGTGCCAAGACCCCAGCCTCTCCTCAACTCCTGAAGCCCCTGTTGGGTGGGCATGGTCCCTTAACCAGTTCAGGTCTTTCCGCTGGAACTTTACAGCCAGCGCAGCCAGACTAATCCTCAGGGCTCATACCACTACGGCAAAATTAATATCACCCGCACCATCAAGCTGGTGGGTACTCAGCCAAGGTAGACGACAAGCTCCGTTATGCGTTCAGTGGTGTCTCCCACAGCGAGCCCGAAACCCCATTGAAGCTGGCCGAGTACTACGGAGTCGCTGACAAGGTTTTCAAGTACGACATCATCAAGGATGACCCAGAAGGAGAGGTGACCAACGTGGTAGTCGCGCCCAATGTTGTCAACATTACTCACCGCACCTTTGTGGAGATCATCTTTGAGAACCACGAGAAGAGCGTACAGTCGTTTCACTTGAATGGATACTCCTTCTTTGCAGTAGCGTAAGCATGAACTTTGAATTGGTTTAGTTAGTTTGTAATTAATAAATTTGATTGGTAAATAAAGATGATGAGTGCACGTGCAGGATAGAGCCTGGGACGTGGAGTCCGGACAAGAGGAAGAACTACAACCTGCTTGATGCAGTGAGCAGGCACACAGTGCAGGTGTTCCCCAAGTCGTGGGCGGCCATCATGTTGACATTCGACAACTGTGGGATGTGGAACGTGAGGTCTGAGTTGGCGGAGAGGCGCTACCTGGGACAGCAACTGTACATCAGTGTTCTGTCCCCTGAGAACTCCCTGAGAGATGAGTACAACATGCCAGACAACGCTCAGGTCTGCGGCATCGTCAAGGATATTCCCAGGCCCAAGCCTTACTACGTCTAATTAATTCAACTATTAACAAAAATCGATGCAGCTCCTTGAAGCGCCTCTTAAAACAGCCATGCATAAAGTAGACACGGAATTTATGATTACGATTAAGTACGAGAGGAGTCCATTTCCTACACAGACCATTAACCATATTTGATGGTGAATGGTGATGAAGAAAAATAAAACCTTCAATTTTTGTTCTAATTATAATCAAATCCTAAAGTACAAAAGAAAAATTGTCAGTTTAATATATCTCTCCTCTCTCCCCTATTCATTAATTTTTTTTTTCTTTTTTTAAATCTCATTTTTGTTGTTTTCTCTTTTCAAACGTATGTAATTTTCTTTATAAATGTTAAGAACTCGAATGCAGCAGATAATCTTTATCTAATTACAAGTACTCATTATTCAAGTATTGGCTCCACCTGATCAACCCTGAACTATATACACATATATATATATATATCCCTCTCATGCCTTTGACTAAACAGTTGCAATTTTCACAACAAAATACAATTCAACGTGGTTCACATAGGTTAAGATTCATCATATGCAATTCACTTCAATTTCATTCAAACACCCATATAAGTAATGCAAATATCATACCATTAGAAACTAATCAAAGAATAATTATATTAAACATAATCAAGAGAAATTCGTTCAAAATCAAACTTGTTATGCCTATTTCTAGTTTGTATCATCAACTGCCGTTGCAACGCTTAATGTAAAAAGATGACCTTAACAAAAATGCAGATCACATTGTGCGGATTCCAAAATTTCTGAGGGCTCAAACGAGTTACAGGACTCTGGCCCATGCTTCCTCAATCAAAGCAGCTTTAAATAAATTTCAGAGCTTGAACAGCATCAGAAGAAAGAACCACCATTTCATATCTTATTATGATCCCTAGATTTTCCACAATCTACCTGGCAAAACTTTTCCCAAAACTCCGTAAGTTCTCCATGGCATTTTGAATATGTTCTGAAACAGTTGTGTAGAGATATCTCTCCGCTGCTCCGTTCGGTCCACGAGAGCAAGGGGGCCGACCTATTTTAGGAAGCGATACATCACAAGACATGGAATTAGCCATCTGTATCATTTTAGGAATGTCAAATTCCATAGTTCACCAACAATAATGTTTACGCTCTTATTACATAATGGAAATGGAGGCCTTCTGTCGAGGAACAAGTTTTCAGGCATTATCTGTTAAACACAACAAAAAAATATAAGCAGGCCAATGAGCAATTTAATCAACCAGATCAAATTCTTAAATGAGCACAACATTTTACAAAGTCTCCAAGTTTAAAACAAGTGATAAAAATTCGTGCATAAGCTTAAACTGCAGCCAATAAATCCAGTTTCTTCCTGCTCTGATAAGCATCAGGAGTATCTTATAACTCAAATAAAAACTCAAGTGTTACAGCTACTAAAATAAATTGAAGCTATTTTAATGCTTTGTCCTCTCCAGTTGATTGTGCATCATTTCCACTCAAAACCATACCTTTTCTACATATGTAATTTTCTAATTTTCTCCTTCCTAGTTTCTTGCTCTTTTTCTCCTTCACAAGAAAAACATGAGAACGAGTTATCCATCATTCGTTACAGGTTATCCAAGGTGGCCATCCATATAAGTCATTTCATTGTCTGCATTTGATCCTCTAATTTAATAATCGTCAATGCAAATATTCAGAATCAGCTCAGCATAAATGTCCAAAAGTAATTAACTGAAATGCAACTCTACCTTCTCAAAACCACGGTGAATAATTGGCAAAACTATTGGGGTCACTGGTGCACGAACAATAAGGCTAGCAGTTCCCCATTTTAATCTTCGAATAGGCACGTCTTGTTGGGATACTTTTCCTTCAGGAAATGTATGTAGCTACTCATTGGAAGCAACAAAAACATTGAAATTGATAATTATGATTGTTGCCGAAAAACAAAAGATGATCCTTGAATAAATAAAAAAAGATTTTACAGGACCAGCATCTATTAATACTCAAAATTTATTTTATAATCAATGACTAGATAAATAAGCAATCTATTAGAACTGGCAAGTGTTTCAGATTTGAGATTCTCAGCATTGGATCATTTCTACTCTTACCCACAATAAAGTGGGGGAGCACATTCATAAGACCAAGGAAAAAGGATTAGCGCTAACATTAAATTTTAAGAAAGCAAGGGAACCCATAAGGTGTCACTTATACAAGGGGACCAATACGAAACAACAAATCCATCTAACCATACATGGTACCAACTCAAACTAACAAGTCCATCTAACCATACAATGTAAGAGTGGTAGAATATTAGATAAATACCCAAGCTCCATCACTTAAGCGCTCAAGAGCTTCATTCATGTGATCTTGATAAATTCCACCACCTCTTGAAATAGGTATGCATTTTCCTGCGCAGTTAGCTATCTCATAAACAAAGTCTTTAGAAAGCATTTGGACAAAAATTTTACCAAATTAAGTCAAAACTCTAATATTGGTATTGAACAGCTACGTAACAATTATAAGGGTGATCAAACAAAGAACACTAGAAAACACATAATATTACAAGAAATTAGTGTTCCATATTCTTAGCAGTAACTGTTTTTTTTCAAATACATCTCTCTACGATTTGTAGATCTATTTTGTGAGTTCATCATACTGTGCAGTTAAACAAACTGTTGGATTAATAACCTGTAACATTCAGAGAAACTCTTAAAGCAGATATTATTACCCATATCGCTTGGATTCTTTAAGTGTCATAGCCGTATGGAACACAACATGACATTGATGGCAGGTATGGGATCTGTCTGAGCCTTGACATACATGTCAAAGACTTGACAATCTAGAACAAGAGGTAATAGTATAAGATAATATGAAGAAATTATTAGCACTTCTAGTTTAGGAGTTCAAAAGAAAACAGAAAAAAAAAAACAAAATCTTGAATGTCTAAACTTTATTTTAGTTTTTTATCAGACACTCAAATCACTTGTATTAATAATTCATACAAATTCTTTATTCTTTTTTCATATTAGAGAAATCTAAATTCTGTATCCAATTTTTGGACTTCTATTGGCCAAATTTTTTATATCTTTAAATATAAACATTATTGAGCCAAACACTTCAATACATACTCAGACTGGACCAGTGCACCTAAGTCCAAGCTACATAGCCCCCTTCCCCTCTTATATCCTCCCTACACTGTTACAAATAGCAAAAGCAGACTCTTGCCCTGCTTTAGAAAATCTATATTCCTATCAATTTCTAAATCCTCAAACAATTAGGTAAATTCTTCCGTATGCATCACTGTTTACATGCTTTCATGGCCAATACCAACTCCTCTAATTGGTCCACTATCAACGTGTACGTGTGGGGGTACCATGCAAGAAGAATAAACCTCATGTAGTAATATGATCTCCTTCATTTACAAGAACTTTATTTAGGTTCAGAGGAAATTCTTAGATAAGATGACCAAAACTTCAGTTTATCTAGGCAAGATTCGGATTGGTTCTGTAAATAATGGATAAGTCTAATTCTAGAAAGTAGGAGCTGCTCACTGCAGCTTTATATATGTAGCTAGTTGTATCACAAATAAAGCATCTCAACCGTTAAATACATTAAGAGCTACATCAAGAGATTGAGGGTTGTCAAAAATGAGACCAAGATATCAACATAAGCCATAAGGCAGAAAATGTAACAAACAAGCATCTTTCGTGTAGAAAGACTTCATGGTGAGTGGTCTGTGACAAGATCCAAGCCCAAGGATCATAGCAACATTGCATTAGAGCCTGCTATCATGGCAACTTCAAGATCTTCCAGGAACAATTTGGCATCTTCTTGAAGTGCAATAGGATGAACGGTTGGGAGATTGATGATTATTTGAGGCTCCTCAATGTTTTCCCAGGTGGTAGTTTCTGAGGGGATCTAGAATGAACCTACCTGCACACTAAATTTGAAGGGGCTCTTCTTGGTGAAACCATATTACCTTCATTTGACTAGAAAGGAGGAAGTGGTTGAGAGGTTCCTTTGGAAGCTGGTTTGGAAGGTGATGGCAACTCCCAGGATGATTTTCTTTTTCGAGAAGCAGTTTTGGAAGCATTCTTACTTTGGATAAATTGATCAAGAGAGGTAAAAATGGTAAATGGACGCTACTTGTCCAAAAACAGAGCTGACTGCAATCACCTTCTCCTTTAGTGCCCTTTTGCTCATCACTTATGGTCTTTGGCTTATAGTTTCTTGTGGTTGAGCTTGCATAATAAGAGAAGAGCTCTGGCATGGAAAGGCATCCGAAGTGATTAGTAGTGGGTTAGGCTTATCCCTTTGGTTACTTTTTGGATCATCTGGAAAGAGAGGAATATGAGTGCTTTTGAGGTACAGTTTCTAACTTTGATAGATTTAAAGATTCATGGTCTCAGACACTGTATTTTTTGATCAAGTGTCAACCATTATATTCAACTGCGGACTAACGGAACTTTATTGATGTTTTGCTAGACTTGTATATGCCTTTTGTATACTGATTGCGCCTCTTTAGTATTTGAATATAAATACTTTTTTCTACCATAAAAAAGTTATAGAATTTTTTTTAAAAGCAATGTTATGTTGTAGGTGTAGCTTTCTTTCCCCTCCAAATCCTTTTACATCCTCGATTTTAGTACTGTGCAAAAACCTTGATGTACAATAGAATTTAAACCACAAATCTCATCAAAGGTCCAAGGCTCGTAAGTAGACATTAGTGCACAAAATGATTGTTTCTTTTTTGGTATTACAGAAGTAACATAATTCTCTGGGGGGAAAAAAAAGCGACAACAAGAGATGAGCAATTACGCAGTACATAGCATTAGAGAAGGTGAAACACAGGCATCAAGAGAGACAGGAAACAAAAGAGAAAGAGGTTCAGAGTATTTGTTGTTACCATCATTGACATGAAACAAGCAAGAGAATAACGTTCATACCAAGGCGGAAAAAATAGGAGAGCAGGGCGTTTTTGAAACAAATGTCTTCAGCCGCGAGTACCCATCGACCCAAGTCTGCATCCAAGGTGGGAAAACCCTTGAATCCCCACATAACTGGATCATCCAACCTGTGCTGTTAGGAGAGTGAGTGCTAAAAAAGAGAAGGAGGAGGAAAAGAATGAAGACAGAGAGAGAGAAGAACTTACGTGGACATGTGATTACTAACAGTAATAAGGGGTACGCCAGGCGGCCGAGATTGAACAAGAGAAATGAGGTTATGGGCATTATGAACGGAGGTTGTGTTGAGAAAAGTGGCGACTAATTTGGCGAATGCCCCTACTGCCATGAAAACCATTTTCCTCGGAAAACCTCCCATGTGATCGCCCCTTGCCGCCCATTCCATTTTCCTTCCCATGGTACCACCGCCACCACTCTGTCACAGAACCTCAAAGTAATTTGCTCTTACCTTACCAACTTGTTCCCAAACTGAACAATTATATGGAAAAATTTTTAATTGGAGATTACTAAATCAGAGAGAAGTGTAAGTAATTCGACTTCCAGTGAGACTCAGACCACTCCTGATCCATATCAAGAGAGATTACCAGGGCAATGGAGTCCTTAGAAGGAAAGGGCAAAACTGTCCATGAGCATTATTATTGTAATTTTAACATAAATATATTTATGGGGCCTGAAATGAAAAATTGGCTATCTACCAAGTCCCATCTTCTATAATATTTCCAGAAATTAGGAATCCAAAATCTGGAAGGGAGGTATTACTTATAATGGCCCTCTTATCAGTGACGATGCCAATGTCAAAAAAATCATCCTTGCTAGTAGTGGCGAAAGTTGCCTCCTGCAATCTTCCTCTTTTGGATTACCGTCCGTGTATCTCTTATTCCACTCACAGTTTCTCTGATAGGTTGTTCGGAATAAAGTCTGTGCCCATTACCAACAACTGCAGAAGGATTACTACCTCCTTTCGCTGCTTTGCTTCTGGTATTGACTTCTTCCTTTCTTCACTTGCTACTTGAATTTATCGTATAATATTACCTCATCTGTTATATCCTTCTAGCTTGTACTTGTTTGAGCCCTAGGATTTGCAACCCTGTGATTCAACCAAGAGATTAATAGAATTGTAGTCGCTTTTACATTAACAGGTCATTAAAATTGCGATGTCTTTGCATTTTCCTCGCGTCAGAACTGATAGTCATCCTCAGATGAACACTTACAATTATTTTTGTTCCCGTCTCAGAGAGGGGAAAAAAAAAGTTTTTCCCACTTTCTCTTAATAGAAAAAGAAGAATCTTTGAAGAGTAGAATGCAATGAACACAATCACGGATAATAAAGCATCCTCCTTGAAATGAGAAAAATAAACCAAAGCTCAGTCAAAAGAAATACAAATAAGTGAAAAAGGATCATCCTGCGGGAGACTCAAATGATAAGTTGGAGGTGTTTGGTATGAGCCTTTGGACCATCCTGAGGGAGCTCAAAAACAGACAAGAGGTCTTTGGACCGAAAATTGGTGAGACTAACGAACAAAATGGGAGTAGAAAGTTGTTATGGGCTAAAACGGTAAATGAGTGGATCAACCTAGGCTGAGTAAAAAACCGGGCAGAAAGCGGATTAAAAGAATCGGGAGGCCCAAGCGGGTATTAGCATTGGTGCTAAAGTGATTGGTGCTAAAAACATCAAGGATTTTGGACCGATTAATCTTGTGGGAAGCATCTATAAGTTGATTTCAGAGGTTTTGGCAAAAAGAATGTCCAAGGTTTTGGGTGAGGTTATTGGGGAAAATCAAGATACTTTTGTGGAAGGAAGACAAATACTTGATGGGGTGATGGTGGCCAATGAAATAGTTGATGACTTAGTGAGGCAGAAAAAAGAAGGTATTATTTGTAAAATAGACATGGAGAAGACCTACGATCATGTTTGTTGGGATTTTATAAATTACATGTTGGAGAGGATGGGTTTTGGGTGTAAATGGAGGAAGTGTGTCATGACATGCATCTCAACGACTTCTTTTGTTGTAATGATTAACGGGGCATTGTCGGCTTTCTTTAAGGCATCAAGAGGTCTTCGTCAAGGAGACCCTATTATCGCCTCTACTATTCCTAACTGTTATGGATGCCTTTGGTAGGATAATGAAGAGGGTCGGGGAGCTTAATGTGGTGAGGGGTATGATAGTAGGGAGTGGGGAATCAAAGGTGAGGGTGTCACACTTATTTTTTGCGGATGATGCACTGATTTTCTGTGAACCAGATGTATCTGCTTTGCTGCACTTGAGGTGCATATTGTCATGCTTTTAATTGGTTTCCGGTTTAAAAATTAACATGAGGAAGACGAAATTGGTGAAAATTAGCGAAATGAGGAATGAGAGGATTTTGGTGAGGGTTTTGGGATGTCAGGTTACAATTTTACCTATTAAATATCTTGGATTACCGCTTTGTGTGAAGTTCAAAGAGGTAAATACTTGGGAGCCTATTGTGGAGCTATTTGAAAAGAGGTTAGCGGGATGGAAGAAAAATTTTCTATTCAAATAGGGAAGACTCACTTTGATCAAGAGCACCTTACCGCTTTTAATTGGTATTGTCATTGACCACTTAATTGATATGTAATTATTTTGTATATAGGTGGTATCTCTTGATACCTATGTGCATAATGATACTTCACTTTTATTTCAAAAAAAAGAGCAGCAACATATGAATGACACAAACCACTAACATTAACATTTATCCTTAAACCAAAATGTCAGCTTTTATTGTTGTGTGTTCCACTTCTCTTTCTCACTTTCTGGTCTTTGTTTTTTTTTTTCTTCTTTTGCAGTACTGAGTCCTCAACTGAGGGATGCACTAGATAAGATCGTTACATCGCATAAGGTGGTCCTTTTTATTAAAGGAACTAAGGAGTTCCCACAATGTGGCTTTTCAAACACGGTGGTGCAAATACTAACTTCCCTGAATGTTCCCTTTGAAACAATTAACATACTAGAAAATGAGATGTTACGCCAGGGATTGAAGGAGTATTCTAGCTGGCCAACATTTCCTCAACTTTATATCGAAGGAGAATTTTTTGGTGGCTGTGATATAACCGTTGGTAAGTTATATATGCGATTTTGGTATTTTTGTGATACTGTTTCCACAAGATTTCTTGTACTATAATGTGTCTGGAAAGAGAAACAAAGGTATGATATGGTTTCAAATGATCAAACATTTTTTCGATACTTGTACTAGTAGCCACTAGATCTCGTTTAGGTAGTTAATCATGGGATGAAATTGGGTTCTCCTTGAAGCCTAAACAGCTGTCACATATTTGTCAAAAACTCTACAGATCCTTGAGGACTGCTGCCGATCTGTTCTCTTCACTTCTCTTTCTTCCTTCAGTTTCCACATCCCAAATCTGGGTTCTTATTAACGCTTAAACAGTTGGTACATGGTTGTCAAAAACTCTACAATTCCTTGAGAATTGCTGTTCGTGTATTTTCTTACATTTCTCTTACTTCTATCAGTTTCCACATTTCCAAATCTTAACTATATTAACTGAACAAATAATCTTAAATAGGTTTGGGGCCTTATGCAGCCATTATAGGCTTTGCATCTCCTGAGAGAATAGGTAGGTTAGTGAAATTTGACGGCGAGCACGCAGTTTGAAATCTTAAAATAAATTTGAGTAGGAAGTTAGCTTCCTGGTTTATTGAACCAGGGAAAGCAAAGAAGACTAGAAACAAAAAGAATAGTAAGTATGCAGTAGAGTCATAGAAGGATGAAGTAGAGGAATGAGAGCAAATTGTTGAGTCTTAGAAGAAGTGCTCTGAGATTTTCAGTATTCAACTGTATGGTAACAATGGACACTAGGTGCACCATTTGTAATTGACTTCCATCATCATTAATCCTACAACTTTTCTATATGGCATAACAAAAATATGAAAGAAAAGTGCATCCAATTGTAACTAACTGGTCAGCTGGCTTAGATTTCATTAAGAAAAGAAGTAATAGTGTTAACTGCCTAATTGAGAATGAAACGAACTTGCTTGATTCAACCTAAGCATCAATTGAGGTCCTGGCATTACCTCCCAATGAAATTCATCCTTGTGCTTAAGGATGTTCATTTGAAATTAGAAATTCGTCCTGAGATACTCCATACCTGTAGGCAATCTGTTAAAAGAATCCATATCTATCTAAGCACCTCTTTTGCTATCAAGTATTGCGGTTATGGCTTCCAAGTCCTCTTGCAATTTTTTATTTTAAAGTTATCAGCCTGGGCATCCACCAATAAATCAGCCAAAGGATTAGCTAAAGAATCAGAATCAGCTATGGCTTTCATGTTTTTCCAAATTCCCAACAGTTTAGGGCTTTTTTTGTTGCCAAATTACAAACTTGGAAATGGTTCCTCTTCTTCATCATCAATTTCCTCCCTCTTGGACAATTGGCTTCTCTGTTAATTATTGTAAAATACCCAACTCGATTTCTATAGGTTATATGATGGCTTTTTCATCTCACCTGGTAAGTTCTTCATCTCCTTTGTTTTGTTCTATGATTTTCTTTGTAGACTCAACTAGGATTATGTTTCCACCTGTCAATCCTTCACTTTCTTGATTTCTTGAGCTTGAGTACTCTCGGATACACTCTTTTCCGCCTTCACACATTTTTCCTTTAAGCATTGATTTGCCAATATCTGAGCTCTGATGCTATTGTTAATAAGAGGGGAAGAAAGAAAAAAAAACTGAGAGGAGTCAGAGAGAGACAGAGAAGAAATACAAGCGGAAACTGTTCCAATTTTATTCATCTAGTATCCTTCCTTACCCTTTGCATAGCTGATATTTCCCAACTCTGTAAGTAACCCGCTAACTAATCCTATTGCCTCATATGTTCCAATATTGTTAAAAGCGAATACCATGTATTATTTGTTCCCTAGAAGGAAATATCATGTGAAATTTTGTTTGACCCAGATGTCTTGGTATTAGAGCGTAGTGTTTGATTTCAACGACAATAGAGACCTCGGGTCTTTTTAATTGCGTTTTAGCTTGTCCCTCCAGTTTTTTCCTTTTTTTCTTGGGTTAGTCTTCAAAGAACTTACAATTCTGAAGGCTCCAACCCCCATTAAACGCCATGTAGGGGAGGTATCCTGTTGAGCCAACTCTGGCTTTAACATATCTCTCTGGGATTTTTTTTTAGTTATTATTTGTTTAATTTCATGATTCGAATTTTTTCCTTGAAATAATTTGAGTGAACCTCTTTTGTGCTCTACAGAGGCATACAAGAGCGGGGAACTGCAGGAACTATTGGAGAAGGCACTATGCTCATGAAAGAGCGCCTCTTGATAAAAGGATACTCTACTTCCTGATTCATGGATGCTTGGAATTTTTTTTACGTCTACTTTTTACATTTATTTCCAACAAAATATTTTCAAGATAAATCCAAACCTACACATGGCTTTGTTGTTGTACCGTGAATTTTGCTCTACGTTTGGCACTTGGTAGATATATATAGAGATATATATATATATATAACTATGATATTTAATGGTAGTAAGGTCAACCAAAAAGTCGGATATATAAAGTTTCTGTGTAGACAAATAGTAGCCTTTGTACTCATTTTGAGAAAATGAATACCTCACAAACACATTTTAAGACTTTATGATCAAGTTTTCCTATTGAAGTGAATGAATGTAAACAAATATCGATTTAAATATTTGCAGGACCAAATAATTTCTAACACTTACTCTTTGGTAGAATCTTGAGAGAGTTTCTAGAGAATTTTTAAAATCTAAAACATTTTAGAGTAATCAGTCAAAAATATGTGGTTCACCCTCATATTGTTTTAGAACACAGGATCTAGAATACAAAGATTCTAATAATTGTAAAAATGTCACTATTCTTATGTTTCATAACTCTATTTTGTGATGAAGTGCGAATGCATTATGATTCATGAAAGTGTGAATAAAATAATCTTTTTACATTGTTAGTGTAAAACTATTTTATATAAACTCTAATGTTATGCTTATCAATAAATGATACAAACTATCAAGATATAGAAATATTAGGAATATAGAATTATCCCCGATTATTACTATTGATTAAAAAAAAATATAAAAATATTTATTTTATTGTTGATAGAAAATTGTACACGCTTATATTTGATAAAATGACGTTTATCACAATGCAATTTTTATAATAAGAATTTTTAAATAATAGATACAAAGAGATGAATAACCGAGTCAATACAAATATTACTTAGCAATTTAAGTTATATGACAATTTAGTGACTGATATAAGGTTTTTGTAGAATTCGTGAACATATTATATATTGTCTAAACTTAGGGCAAATAATGATTAAAAAATTATTAAGAGTAAAAACTTTCCTACCTACTACTACGGCATGAAATATTAGTATTACTAAAAATATTTGAAATATTAATTATATAATCGATGGTCCCTTAATTTACTACTATTCACGAGTTTGGTTTTTTTCAATTTCGTTTTTATAAATTTTAATCCTAGTGATGATTTCTAAAATTCCAAGATGCTAATAGTTTTTGGTGTCTATGTGCCAGAGAAAAGTTCAATGATTTAACAACTGAGGGAGAACTCTAAAGTTTGGTTTTATCACCATTTAGCCAGCAAATAAATCTTAACTTTCAATTCTCATATTAGTTCTTAGTATTTACACAATTTGTTACATACCACCTCTTATGCTATCGGTTGGATTATATATAAAGGAAAAGAATTGACCAGACGGAAGTCACTCATCACTTTCTGAAACTATGTTGTTCACCACACGGGGAAGGAGGATAAATCACAGGCAAATCACGAGCCGAGCTTGGTGCCAAAAACATGGAACTATCTATCTTCAAGCCATTCTTTGTTCCTTCATGTTGAGAGAAAAAGTACATGACAACATAACAAGATCCATTAACAACCTGCAGGAAAAGCTATCAATCTAATGGAAAGAATAATTCTCGGCAAACCTTCATTCTAAATTTCAAGACAACTCCTAGTACGAGCTTATTGTAAACGTATCTGAGAATGTCATCTAGCAAACCCACAAATAAGTAACTGGTTCCTTTTCTGTTATTCCCTATTTGAAGCATCTTCAATACTTCTTGTCTAATCAAACAGATCAACTCGCATTATTTTTGGACTTGAATAAGATGAGATGAAATTACATAAACACAATTGCACACCCTGATCAAACCAATCTATTTGTAGCTCTACAGCAGATGTTGAGATAATTGAATTATTTTGTTTCAGCTAAACCCCTAGATAGCACTCAGCGGCATTCATCTTTGAGGGGGTTCAACTGTCCGCACATTGGCACCAGTCATTCCTTCAATTCTATCTTTTGTGATCTCCACAAAATGACCAACTATTTCATAGAACTGCTTCAATCCTGACAATGGGAGGATTATAGATGACCTATCAGAACCTGCAACCTGCATCAAGATAGTAGTCACATAACCAAGTTTGACAAATTCCAAAAGAAAAACACAATCAAAGTCAAACTTATACATGCTGAGTCCTGTTTAGACCAACCTCTGATATTCTCAGGAAATGACCCCTACTATTGCTTCCTAAATCAAAGAAGAACCTTTTCTGATCGGCTCTGATTACCTTGGAGACCCCCATGTTACCAATTTCATCCTGAGGTGGCAGCTCCACTGACCTGTCTACATTCAGCTCAGAAGACGTGACAGGTTGGCTACTGTGTCCAGTAATGAAGCCAGCCCCCACATCATCTGAGAGTCCAACTAAACGTTCTGAGGTTTCAGAAGTTTGCTGTCCACACAAGAGTACCATCATATTAGGGGTGAAAGGATCCACAGACATACAAGGGAAAACTTGTTAGACTAAGGTAAAAAAATAGGATAGTGGATGGTTATGTGCATTGAACACCAGGCCACCTGATTAGGCAAAATAAACAGTCTTGAGGCTTCATTAATTTCCCTCAAAATGTTCCTGAAAGCTGCCCATCCTTCATCACGGGCACTTCCTGCAGGAACAATAATAGTACTGCGGTTTCTACTAACAGATGCTTCAGAGACCTGCACAAATAAATCTGTTAGAATAACTAATCTAAAGCAGAGAGCCAAAAGTACAACCTTTGATATTATCTTTCCCTGTTGAAAAATTTTCACAATTCAAGGAACAGCCGACCAGTAAAGCAATCAGAAGCACTAAAAGAGATTAACTATAATGAGCACATAATCATACAAGAACTGACATCTTAGCCACCCAAAATGTCAGGTAAAGAAAGGGAAAAGCAAAAGTCTTTGCACTATGTACTCTTACTACGCTGCAGAAGTAACCTTTTTCTTTGTGAATTGCAATCAATGACACCATCTCCTTTGTTCAAGCTAAAGTAGGCATGTAATTTGCTGAGGGTTACTTAGTACCAAGAAGGCAAGTTACACAGGTTGCTTGCTATAGAATGAAACGTATAACTAGCTCCTGTATTTTTGTCCGACATATGGGAAAAATCAAAAAAACTTACATCTGAAGGTTTCCATCAACAGAAGAGATGCCCTTCTCTGTACTATTCTCTTTGGCCAGAACAAAGGAAGGCCTGAGGAGTTATCATTTTATTTCAGCAACTGGTTATTTGGTCAAAACCTGGAGTTTGATCCAACAGTGTACTTCCTTACCCATTTCCAAGTGGTTAAGAGTTCGCATGTAGTGTTAATTGTGGACCTAGTGAGAAACTTGCATGATTGGAAGGAAAAAGAATACGTTAACCTCCCTCCTGCACCTTGCCAACCCTCCTCCTGACCATTGTGTTTTCCCTACAAAATTAGTTTGGAAATTGAATAACTCTGCTGAAGTTTCGTTCTTTTATTACAAAGCTACAAGAAAAGGATCCTTACTATTGACAAACCTTTTTTTGGAGGAATACTATGACAATCTTAAGAAAAGTGCCCAAACCATTTGCTTTTATGGTTCCTCTTTTCCTATTGCCTTTGGCAGAACTATTAACTTTCTCAACAATGAGCTGGGTGACTGCAAGGTCAGTGTTAGATGAGCTTCCACTACACAAGGTATCTGCAGTTACAAGGGGAGGCAAGTTTCACCTTCATATCCCCATGCTGAGCCGTGAGTTATTGACAGGAAAGAATAAAAGATCCTTTGAGGATGTGGCCCATCCATTTGGGAGTTTAGGGATATTTGGTTTTAGACCACCTGTTATTTTAAGGATCATCCTCTTTCTTTTGCAGAGGATTTGGGGTAGTTTACTGACACTTAGACTGATTTATAAATTCCCCAACTTTGGTATATGGAAAGCACCTTCTTGATGCCTTGTTCTAGAATACTTTTTTCTTTCCCAGAAGAAAATGAAAGTGATGCCACTGCCAACATGGAAGACCTAAACTGACCAAAACTTTTTGAAATTTTTCATGGAGTCATCCTTTCTTGTTCAACTTTTTCGTCCCTTGTTAAGCATCAGCAACCAAGTTGCACATTTTTGTAGAAGTGCATGAAAAGTTGAGAAAGCTCATACATTTCCAATTGAGAAGTAGCATTTATGCAAGACTTGTATGCTGTCACTGAAGTTTGGAGATGAATAACATTTGTTGTCAGATTATGAGGGGGCTTGGAGTTTATGATCTCGACATTTTGCTGTCTTTTGGGAAGGTATGGGTTGCTTCCCTGCCTTGGAAGCATTCTTTTTCTGTCACCTGAGGGCTTGCATCAAGAGGACGGAGCTTAAAGCTTTAATGCATGGTGCTCCTTTTTTGGGGGTTGGGTTTCATGATTGGAACAGAATGCCAGAATTTTCAATAGATGCGCCCCATTCTGTACTATTATTTGGGACAGCATGGTTGTTTTTGGTTTCTTTGTGAGCTAAGGCAATGGATTTTTTTGGAAATATGCTCTTCTATAGCTTGCAAAAGAACTGAAAGGCTATTTCTTTGTTGAGACTTTTCCCTTTTCTGTTTGTGTTTTCTGATTCTTTGTTCTCCTTGTGCAAGAATGCCTTATTCTTCTAGCTGACTAATTTTTTCCGATCCCTACTTCTTATATACAGGAAAGAAAACAGTACACTACTGTCTCTAAATCAAATCAGCTGCCTATTTAAGGAGACTTCATCACTTCACTTTTCACGTTATAACCCCTCAATATTCTTGACATTTACAAGTCCTGTTGTATATACCATAGGATTAACACAATCACTCCAACCGAAAAGGATTCCCACAATGATGCCCAAGCTTTGATCAAAGTAGCAAACTGTATAGCATTCCAAAATACTTGTGAATTAATAGCAGGTAAACATCCCATCCTTTCCTTTTCTTTCCCTCCAATTCCCTCAATCAAAACCTTCCTGCCTTGTTTTATTCCTGTGTAACTCTTAAAACAGGAACCTAAACAGAAACAGCATAGATGCTTAAGGAGAAAAGTCAGATTTCCTTTTCCTTTGTGGCACCTGCATATACAAATTTCTATTCTGCCGCTTTCTTATTCTTCTTCCGATATTTGGGGCATAACAACATCCCAGTCCACCACCAGGGTAGGAGAAAATGCCATATCACTTAAGAAAATGAGAACTTCCATCCCTTAAGATTAGAAGTAAGGTTATGTCCTAGAAGATTCCTGAGTCCAACACATAGAAGATTCCTGAGAAGCTGTATGAAACTTGAAGCAATGAGAAAAGATCATCACAGAGTATTTGTTGAGGTAAAGGATAGTTAGAACTCTAAAGCCCATTTATTCAATTCTCGAAATAAGAGAATTAAGAGTGATTGCGAGAGTTATTTAATATATTAACGTTAAATTAATTTTTCAACCAGAGAAGAGTGGAGTTCAATCCTTATTTTACTCTGTTAAAATCATTCCTCAAATAAGACTCTTCAGAATACTTACGTTAGTCTGCTCTACCTACCTATACTCTAAACATGGTACCTTTACCCTTGTCTAAAAACTTCCAAACACACCTTTAAGCAGGATGATCAACCAACATTTACTGAATACAAACAAAAAAGGGTCCCCCTTTCGCGATAAAGTAAAGCAAGCACCTGAAATAGTAAGGCAGATTCAACAGCATATGCACACTGAGCCGGAATTGCGTGATTTGAGAGGAGAGATATTTATTCTAATACATTTGCATAGACTGAAACGACAAAGCCGAAGTGAAAAAGGAACAGTTTGAGAAAGGAAAAGGGAATAGAGAGCGGTAACTGAAAGAGCATACCTTCAAGAAGCGGCCTCTCCGGTTCTCGCCAATGTCAAAGTAGAAGACCTGAAAGAAATGGAAAAAAGAAAATGAAATGGGAAAAGAGATAATGAGATGGGAGGAAAAAGTGGGAAGGAGGTTGATGCCTTGGTGTCGAGCTGCAATTCTTTGCTGAAGAGGTCGTGCTCATCGGAAGCGACGTAGTAATTAAAAAGATCGAGGAACCAAGAGATGCCGGAGAAAGGGACGATGATGGTGGAGCGGGTGGCAGAAGTCTTCTCGGAAATTTTGAGGTAACGGCCGCGAGGGTTCTCCTTGAGATCGAAATAAAAGAGCTTGTGCTCCACTTGCAACGTCTTACAGACTAGCTCCACGTCGTTACCTCCCCCTCCTCCGGCGGCCACTGCTGCAGAGGTACCCGATGATGCTGCTGCTGCTCCTCCCCCGGAACTCCCTTCCATCTTTCCTTTGTTCTTCTCTCCGTGTGCTTCACTTGACACTCTTCAGCCGGCCTTCTAATACGAAGGGATATCCATGAATCGATGGAGAATTGAATAAAAGAAAGGATAATCTGAAGTTTGAGGGTAGTGGGTATGGTTAAATGGAGCTGTAGATCTGAGAAGGAATGGGTATTAGTATGTATGGAAATGTGGGAATTAGGGTTGGAGAGAGGAGGAAGGAAGAGGGAGAGGGGAAGAGATAATGGTGATTGTACAAGTCCAAGTAACAGTCCCGCATACGTTTTACATAATAAAATTTTGTTTTTTTAGTTGAGTCTGTGTTTGGAGGTGAACCTGAGAGATAGATAGCTCCACTTTCTTGTCAACCAACTAACCCAAGCCAAGCCTTTAAAAAGTAGTCCCAACAACCGCACTTGGTAGAGCTGCCTCTCTTGTTTTCATCTCTCTCCGCATTTTTTACCCAACACTTTGAACATTTGACGTGTTGTCATCAATCCCCATTCGCAATAATTTTTCCACCTTTTTGGGTTTGTTTCCCTCTTCCCCCTCCTTCCCATTTGACCATTTCTGCAAATTTAACCGCCACTTCCACTTCCAACCTTTTCTTTTTTTGGGATAAGTGTAGGACACTTCCATTTCCATTTGATCGTATATAAATTCCAATTTCCTAGTCAACAGAAAGTCAGAAACAAATATCACCCTCGACCTTCGTGCATCTAATCTTCCTTTTTTCGGTTACTTCTTTTCAATCATTCACTTCTTGCTAAATGTTAAAGGTCAGTTGATTCCTCCAACGTGTGGGGTTTTTGTTTTTTAAATAAGTTTATCAACTTTCTTTTGAATTTTGCACCTTTGACCGCATTACTTTACTGTGATATAATGAATAAAGGGCTATTATCCCATTTCACCAAAATACCAACTTCCCCCGCGCTCTATTCTCTCTCCCGTATGCACATCTAATGCAGACAGACCAGCAAATGCCTTTCCGGAGGATGATCCTATCTGTAACTGTAAGATTCTGGCCGCCTTCTTGCCTGTTCGAAACCAGACGCCCGATATCAACCCCACCTCCCCACTTATTACTCCGTACTTTGTTAAAGCGCTGTTCCAACCTCAAAACCTTACACCAAGTCCATGCCTTCATGCTCCCGCGAGCTCTCCACCATGATGTTTCCCTCCTCAGCTTCTTCATCGACGCTTGCTCCTTTCTGGGTTTCTTCGTTTACGCTTACTCCGTCTTCCTCCGTGCGCCTCACCCCAATACCTTTCTCTACAACACCATGATCAGGTTTCTCTCTCGCTCTGACTCTATCGTGGAGGCTATCCTTCTCTACAAAAAACTTCGAGCTCACGGCTTGCCACCCGACACCTACACGTTTCCTTTTGTGCTCAAGGTTGTTACCCGGTTATCCGCCATCAGATGGGGCACCCAGATTCACTGCCAAACGCTGCTTACTGGCCTGGACTACGATGTTCACGTGGTCATAGCTCTTGTACAGATGTACTCGTCCTGTGGGTGTCTCGGGGATGCGCACCAACTGTTTGATGGAGTGAACTTCAGAAATGTGGCTCTCTGGAATGCAATGATTGCCGGTTACGCCAAGGTTGGTGAGGTGGACAAAGCCCGAGGTTTGCTGGAGCACATGCCGCAATGTCACAGGAATGTCATTTCATGGACTTGTGTCATCGCTGGATATGCCCAGATGGATCGACCAAATGAAGCAATAGAGGTCTTTCGGAGAATGCAGCTTGAGAATGTGGAGCCTGATGAGATAGCCATGCTGGCTGTCCTCTCTGCTTGTGCGGATTTGGGTGCCCTCCAGTTGGGGGAATGGGTTCATAATTATGTCGGCAACCGCGGCTTGAATCAAACAGTTCCTCTTAAGAACGCCCTTATAGACATGTATGCGAAGTCGGGAAAAATAGGAAAGGCTTTCCAAATATTTGAGGATATGAAGAATAAAAGTGTTGTAACTTGGACTACCATGATTTCTGGATTTGCCCTGCATGGGCTTGGAAGGGAAGCAATTGAAATGTTCTCCCGTATGCAAAGAGATGGTGTTAAACCAAATGACATCACTTTCATTGCCATCCTTTCTGCATGCGCCCATGTCGGATTGGTTAAGCTGTGTGTCTGGTGCTTCAACACCATGAGATCAACTTATGGGATTAAACCAAAGGTTGAACACTATGGCTGCCTGATTGACTCACTTGGTCGTGCTGGTTTTCTTCATGAAGCACAAGAACTAGTTAGGAGGATGCCCTTTGAGGCCAATGCTGCGGTATGGGGATCCCTTCTTGCTGCTTCTAATATTCATCGGGACCTTGAGCTTGGGGTCTGTGCTCTGCAGCATCTAATTAAATTAGAGCCTTACAATAGTGGAAATTATGTGCTTTTATGCAACATGTATTCCTCACTTGGAAGGTGGGATGAATCTAGGACGGCAAGGAAGATGATGAGGGACAAAGATGTTAAGAAGATGCCAGGAGGCAGTTTTATTGAACTGAATAACAGAGTTTACGAATTCATTGCAGGAGACACATCACATCCGCAGTTCAGTATGATAGAGGAACTACTATTTGGGGTTGATGGGAAACTAAAAATGATTGAGTATCCACAGAGGGACAGTGTTGGATCATATGAATTTGACATGGTATAGGACATTGCTCTGCCTCTAACATCTCTATTTCTGGTTTCTGACCAGCCTTGAGTACCATGATGATAAATGCAACAGTACTATGTGCTATGCTGTCATTCCATTGACAAGTCCTAGCTGTGTATGTTACCTCAAGCATCCCATTCTTTTCAAACTGAAGGTAGCAGGTGGAGCTCCACTCACATGGTAAGCTGTCCCAATTAAACACGACTGTTTGCTGCTGTATAATTTCATGCCATCACATGAACAAGGAATTATACATATCTGCCTAAATTTCCTGTTTTTGGAGCTGATGATAGCTTCCCACACCCATATCTTGCCTTTCTTCTCAAAATTCCTCCGATCCATCTAGTGTCACTTTTTAGATGTTGCCAGAATAACATTCAAAATGTTGCATTTTAAGAAAAGAGATAATACTTTCATAATATTTACATATATTAAGCATAATAAATACCACTAAGAACAAAAATAAATAGCAGATACATATTTAAAGATACAGAACCAGTTGTACATTAACTTGATGCAAAGCCAAAATATCCAGGTTTTCTTGTTTCTCAGAGTAAAATCTCTTCTGGAAGTTTAGATTGGAATATACCTTCCACGACAGTAGAAATCTTATTCTGATAGCATTGTTGCATTATTTTGCAACAATGTAGGACTACCTTATTTGGGTTAAGCCTGTTTCTTAGCTTATAGGAAAGAAGGATCAAGGTGTGGAGTTTATATGTATATTTATCCTATCCTACCCTACAATGGTATAGTCACCTACGCCAACAGTATTGAAGCAAGTGACAGTGAGCTTTTGTTATCAACTTCGGCTACATCAAAGTACTAAGCCATAGAAGAAGTCATGGTCAAGCCCCAAGTTGCAGAATCCCAATCCCAGAAGAACACTGGCACACAAAATTTGAATTTTCTGTTTAAGGGTATGGCATATTCCTGCCAAAATACAATACAAGCAAATCATGTCATGGGTTAAGAGGTTAGAAATTGACCAGGAGATTAGACATAAGAATAATGTTTCCCATAGCTTCATATTTTGAAATAAGTTAGGTTTAGGTAAATGTTTCTTTAGATGAGATAAATTTGGTCGGAAAGAAGAACCACATTTGATGTAGACCTCCAGATGCTTACCTTTGTTCATTAAACTTGTCAATGATTTTGCAGACATCTCTGTTAGATCCCTTTTATTTGTGTCTTCTATAAATGAAATTGGCTCAGATCTCAATTTGAATTCACCGTGTCTTCTTCCTATTGGGGAGGGTTCAGGTGAGGCACTTCTTTCTCCCTTTTTACTATCCTTCTTACATGGTTCTATATGTTCACAGTGCAATTCCAATTCTGATATTGAAATGGAGGCATTTTTATCTTCCTTTACGTCCAAGTTGTTGTGTAAGTAGGGTAGAGAAAACTGGCACCCTATATTCTCTGGTATGGATCTGTCTAAGCATTGTGTTTCACCTTTAAGTACCTCCGTTATTGACAATATATGGACTCCATCATCATCCTTAATCTTACTAAATCCT